TTATTATTATTATTATTATTATTATTATTATTATTATTATTATTATTGGAAACCGTAATATAGCTGAATAATGTTTAATTTGAAGCGCGAAGACACACCGACCCGTATACTGTTTTGTACAGGAAGAATGGGTACAAGTCTTCAGGGAATGAAAATACGAGTATGTTCTGTTTCATAAGACAGCGCTATTATCATGGAAAGTAGGGTGTGTGTTTTTATCTCCACTAACCTGGGAAAAAAAAGGAAGTGCAGGTCTCTCAAACCTGTGGGATAATATATATATTTGTTGGTGAGGACAGAGAGAGGAAAATTAGAGGATTAACTTTATGTCAGCGTATTGCTTCATTTAATGCTGCCACTTCATTTAAGAAACAGTTGGGAAATCTATTCTGTAATGCAGGACACAAATAAATATAAGGGGTGGATGAAAACTCGGTTGCAGCTTGCAGTAATGCTGGGGCAGCAGTTTTACTGCAAAAAGATCAATCAGCAGAATACACTGCAGAACAGCATACATGGGTTTGCTTGTTTTTAAATTCTCCCAAGAATGAAATCAAAATCCAGGCACCATGAAGTAGATTACAGCATTGAATTTAGTCATATTGCTTTGGCTAATTGGATGTGTTAAAGTGCATTGATTTAACCCAGTTGATTAGGCATATAATGAGCTGAGTTGTAGTTGTGAAATTGTTTCTATTATGATACTGAACTCTTGGGTAAGAATAGAAAGAAAAAAATAGTTAAATCGATTGGGCAACAGTCATCAGAAAAAAATTATTTTCTAAATTCTTCTTAATGTTATTTAATGTTAATTTAACTATTGGTTCTGTTTTTGTATTTTCAAAGATAAAATTAATATTTCACAAATGATCCTTATAAATGTATCTCTGAACATACAGTATATAAGTAGGATTATCTATGTTTTAAAAAGCCATGAAAATATTCATGAAAACAACTATTAATTAGTCTCATTGAGTATAATTTTTCACATTGGATTAGAGGGTAAGAATTAGGGTTTTGAAAAAAAAGGAAAGAAATATAATTTGCTTAAATACAGGAAGACTTGGTCAGTAAAGCAGTTAGGTACTGAAACCGCCTGTTTATTAAAGTATCACATTTACTTGCTGCAATTCTATATATACCTTTTTGACACAATATAAAGAACAATAAAAACAAAAAATTTAAAGAAAAATACAATAAATGCACCTACATTCCAGATGACATCTGGTCTCAGCCACCAAATGCCCTCTATAATAGTTATATTTTGAGAAACTTAGAAGGCAAAACTGTTGTTGGAACCAAATACACCTGTGGGAGATCATTCCAGAGGGGCAGCCCAACAACAGAAAAACTACACTTTTGAATCTTGGCCCTCTAACTCTTGAAAAATGGAGGACAGCTTGCTGTTTGTCCTGGCATGATCAAAATGATTGGATTGATTCCAGTGGAGAGATGAGTGGTCCAAAGTAACCCAATGCCAACCTTAAAGGGTTTTATAATTTAAAACCACCATTTTAAATTGTACTTGAAAGCAGATAGGAAGCAGGGTCCACAAAATATGTGCAATATGTGCCCCAGCATCCAGGCCATGCATTTTATACCAACTAAAGATTCACCATGGTATTTAAAGGCAGCCTCATATAGAACATGTTGTACAAGCTTGGTGATGAGGATGTAAGCTACCATAGGCAGATCTTTCTGTCCCAAGTGAAGTATAGCTGGGTAAAGCTCCCCCCTGCCACAACTTTGGGAATAGGGAGGTGAATTAGAAATAAATAAGTTATTCACAAATTGCTACCTTTGATGAGGCTTACATAGAAGCATACTGATATTTATTAGCTTTATATCCTGCCCCAATCTAATACTAGTAACAGCTTCCTTAGGAAAAAAAAATGAAAACATAGTATGACTAAAAGAGAACATCATAAGGCCCAGAAATAAAAAACAGAAATAAAAATAACATGAACACATGAGAAAACAGAAAGAAAAGAAATAAATAAAATACTACAGTATAGAGCAGTGCTTAAGCTAAAAGAATGTCCTCTGAAATAACTCAATATTTAAACATTTTCCTGAAGGTTAACAAGGTGATAGCCAGCCTGATCTCTATGATAAGTTTATTCCAAGGCAGAAAAGCGCTGTCTTCTAACTTCATACTGTCTTCCCAACATATCTTGGAAAGGTGGGACTTATAAGTAGATTCTTTCCAAAGAATCCAGTTAGTCAGATCAATTCCAAGGAAGTGTTCCCTCAGATACCAAGCCATAAAGGCCATTATAACTTAACATCAGCTCTTTAGACAGCTGTCCGGCAGCCAATGGGCCTGAGGACTTTGTGTTACATACCTATTGGTCAGAGCTTGTACATATGTGGGCCCCTCTACTGTGTTGTAAAGCTGCATTGACAGAATCTTGCAAGCCTGGAAGTTCAATCCTCCACTCTGACTCTTTATGACTGAGAAACTAGGGAGGCTCTGTTCCAAGTCTGCCTGTTATCCAGTTGTGCGCTGTGCTATCTGTTATCTAATTGTTCCCTTGATAGTGTCTCTATGCCTATCTCCCAAGGCCTTTCCCACACATCATTATATATATTCAGGTCTGAACCCTAACTGGAAAAAAAGTCCAAATAGTTTGTTTCTTCTAAGGTACTATGAAGTTAGTATACTATCACTATCTCAACAACCTTCCTTAAAAAGGGAGATTGAAGAATGGGCAATACTTATCTAAACCCCTTGGATCTGGGAATGGGTTTTTTTCCAAATGGTACACCTTTCTTCTTCAAAACTACTATTTCTCAGATCCATGCATTTTTCATCTACTTCCCACAATAGCCAGGATGGCAAAGGATAGGTGGCAGGAGATAACCTAACTAGGATCTAATCCACTTCTTTGAAATAGACTAAAAGAATTCACAAAATAATAGGATATGTTGTCCTATTCGTCTTTTCGATTTACAGTATGTGCCACCCATCTTCAGAGATGACTTTAACTTTAGTAACATCAAGTACTTTGCCAATATGAAGTCAAGAATATGGAGAATTTGAGCAACTCTGGGTAAAATGCTGTGCAAAATGGCCACAGTGACCAGGTGAAAGTCATTTATTTGAAATGGCCAAGATTTCAAGAATACACTAATTTGTTAGTTGTGTACCTTAATTGGAAACACTATATTATCTGTTGTTCTTTTTTACATAATATTGTTTGTTCTATTGTGAAGTACAACCACTATTTTAAAAACACTAGAAAACAAAGGAAGTAGTTTCTCATTGTATCCTTTAGCTCAGCTACGTGTAAGTAAGTAGAACAATAATGTACATCCAAAAGTAACTTGGGTATATTTTTTAATAATAAAATATATTTAACATTGCAGCCAAAGGCACCAAATACTTTTTTCCAACAGTATGTTCAACTGCTTATAGCATTAAAAAAAAATTTTTTTTGAGGTTTTAGCAAGGAACCTGGATGGGTGATGCTACTGAATATTCTCAGCCATTACAAGATCAAGAACTGTCATGAAGGTTAAAATTTAAATCTAGTTAAGCTTCTAGTAATAAAACCGATCTTCTGATCTGGAAAAAGGCAACTGTGTGCTAAGTTCTAAGATCAAAGTCTCTCCATATCATTAATATATAGGACTACAAATTAGCATTTAATGTTTTATATTAGGTTCTGAAATATGAATCACCATTTACATAGAAATTTGAAAAATAAATAAATACTACCGTGTTTCTCATATAATAAGGCCGGGTCTTTTTTTTTTTTTTTGAGCCCCGAAAAAATGGCTAGGCCGTCTTTTCGGGGGTGACTTAATTCCCCCCCCTTGCATCTTTGGGCGGGTGGTGACAGCTTGGATGTTGACCTCGGTGTTGGTGGGGCACTTCGTATCGGGGTCAACGCAGGCAGCACCATATCCGGGTGTGCAACAAAAGTACTTCCTAATGGCAAGCCTTCCCCCACCATTCCCCCCATTTCGCATGTTTTAATATAGGCCTTAATTTGGGGGGAGGGGTTTAATTTCATTTCATGCCTATAAAACATGCTGGGACTTCCTATTGGGGGAGGCTGTATTGTTGGAGAAACAGGGTATATTGAATTATAGTCAGCCATGCAGAGGAGGGATGAAATGTACATTGCAACACAATTCTTCCCTTTACATGTTTGTGTGCAATGTCATGGTGCAAATTAAGGTGAAGCTCATATTGTGATGTCAAAGTACTTGTTTCATCATTTTGGTATCATGATTTGGAATCAATGTCTATATTGTATTATATAGGGCATATTCAATGTTTTTCTTATTAAGTGTTTAACAAATTTGATTTAGATATTCTAGCAAGTTTATATATTTTTTTACAACAGGATGTTGTAAAAACAGTCCTATTGTAAAGCAAGTATTTGAATAGAATAGAATAGAATAGAATAGAATAGAATAGAATAGAATAGA